CTAACTATAGCTGCGGCTCTGCTTGAAGACTAAACTCATATGTATGTTCTGCAGGTGTGAACTTCATTTTTAGTATGCCTCAACATTGGCGTATTATTTTGGCCTGTTGGACAAAGAAGTTGTTGGTATTGATAGGATTGAGCCGTCAACTGCCTCATTCCAAATGCATTATCCTGTTCAAACGCTTTTTAAACTTGTAGGGTTATTGCGCTTCCAATAATTCTTTGTAAGCACCATCACATGTTGCCAATCTTGACTAGTGCTATCTTCAGAACAATTTTCTTTCTGTATTTGATATAATTACCACTCAGAGGCGGATCATACAAGTAAAAGTCGAAGCCTTGAATCTATAATGAAATGCCGCCATTTTCCAGCACATTATTTAATTATACCATAGGTACATTGTTTAGTCCACGAAACTATTTTTCGTAAGCAAGTTTTTTTTTTCAATTTTTTTCGAGAGTAGTCAAAGTGGATCGGGAGTATTTATTGCCAACAGCGTTGGATAAAGCCTGATACGGTTAGGAGAGGAAGAATTTCGCTCTCATCCTTACGCGGCCCTCGTTTCACGATCCACGATCTCATATTTTGACTGTGCCGCTCTTTAGAGGCTTTTTCGGTTAGAAGTGAGGTATTATAGAAACTGGAAAGAACCTGACTGGTAACGGCTACCCACATCGAATGAAGCCTGATCAAGTCATACAGTAGATCCACAAATATGTATAATGAGGCGACAACATTTCCATTTATTAAAACATACGCTGCGTTGAAATGTTTTTCAACAAGAATTACAAATACCGACTATAATAAGTTACGGATCACAGGCTGTTCAGGAAAATCTAACAAGCTTGGTAAATGTCGTGAAGAAGTCGCCTCGGAACATTTCCTTCCATGTATCTACCCGACATTTCAGGGATACATTGTCCGCATCACTGGAGGAAATGACAAGCAAGGTTTCACCATGAAGCAGGGAGTGTTGAGCAGCGGTCGAGTTCGTCTGCTTCTCGCTAAGGGTGACTCTTGTTATCGACCAAGAAAGGCTGGAGAGCGAAAGAGGAAGTCTGTTCGTGGATGCATTGTTGACGCCAACCTGTCCGTGCTGTCTCTCGTTGTGGTGAAGAAAGGTGAGCTTTGCACTGTTTCTAGCTTTTCAAATGCTTTAATATTTTTTTTACTTTCCTTTCTGCTGCAATGGTGGCTAACATTTTGAGAATTAGCGATAGATTGGTTGAAACCACCTTTTTTGTGCGTGCCCAGAGTGAAAATTCGTTGTCCGTCAATCATTTAGAACTGAATAGAAGCTCTGTATTCTCAATAATCTTCCGAAATTTCATTTTGCGTGCAAAGTTCTCGAAAAGTCGTCCGGTACTGTTGAGGGAGTCTGATGCAGGGAAGCACAAAGCCTTTCCAAATTGTATCAGTAAATTTAAGTACATTTGTCCGTTATCTTCCTTCTTCTTCTTCTTTATCGTTTATCCCGCTTGGTGGCAGGCTTCGCTTGTTTGTCCGTGATCGCCCAACAGAGAAAAGAGAAGAAAAATCTCATCACTATATAGTGAACTGTACCGAACGGTCTCTAAAGTCTATTGTGTAGATCGTTTGCTCTCCGCATCTCCAATATTCTTCGATTGCTTAAATATTTCATTGTTTAATAGTTATACCGCGGCCGTCGTTCATCGCTCATGAAAGGTTCAGAATTAAAAGATAGCTTACATTAAAACTTATTTTTATGCTTGTTTTTGCTGAGCTTTTTCATCAACTCGAACGCTCAAACCACTGGAAAAGCCAAGCTTACCTTCACCCATTGTTAACGTACAGCCAACCTTCAATAAAGATTGGATCATCTTGTCTTTTACATCCTATCTTACTTTCTATCTTATCTATTAGCCAGTGTAGAGAGGGTAAGGAATAGTTACTTTTCTGATCTATCCACCTTTGCTGAATGCGTTTGAGTACAAGTTGAGGCCAAGGGTGCCATGATATCTAAGGCATTGTTTTTAAAGTTTTAAATAAGAGCAAGCGTTCATTGAGCCTGGACAAGAGCAGATTTCACGTATACTAAGAGAGCAATTATCTTCATGCTTGCCTTTTAGGTGACCAAGATATTGAAGGCCTAACAGACAAGGTGCTGCCTCGCCGTCTCGGTCCCAAGAGGGCAACAAAGATTCGCAAGTTGTTCAATCTTTCTAAGGAGGACGATGTGACGAAGTTACGTCATCACTCATGAGAAAGCCCGTGGAGAAGGTGAGACAGTTCTCGTGCAGTGTGCTGTTTTTGCTCTTCAGTGCACAATTTCTACCTAATGTAGAGAATGAGCATGAGAGGAGTTAAGAGCAACTATCTGCAGTATCTACCTTTAGGCCTCTGACTAAGTGTGATGCTTCTGTATCATATGGCTTTGGGTTCGTAGCTAGATGACAAGAATTTGAATGCTTTGTTGAACGTTCTTTTAGAAATAACATGAGTTTAGTGCTAGTTGTATTTAGGAAAACCTTCCCGTATTATCGCACCGAAAATCCGGAGACTCATCACGCCGACCGTCTTTGGAAGACGTAAGGCCCTCCTCAGGAAGAAGGTACAACAGCGTAACAAGTCTTCGCGAGGAAGCTGCTGCATATAACAAACTCATGACCAAGTTCGCAAAGGTGAGGTTATTCGTTGTTCCCTACTGTCGAGTGCTCCCCTCACTATATTCAAATTCAGGAGGTGAAGGATCAAAAAGTCGCCCGTAGAAGATCATCCGCTTCGAGGTCATCCGAGAGTGATGTGAAGAAGGCTGCCAAGAAGTAATCGGGATTGTTTCTTGTTATGAACCCCGTTTGTTTCTACTATAAATGTTATTATTGTTTGCTGTCATTAACGGCTGGTAAATTTCTGAGACACTTGTCGTCTGCTGCATGTGGCTGACTTTTGACCATTGAAAGCTACGTGTAAATTCACACAGAAACAGTTTTTGCTCTAATTTGTAGATAGGTAAACTGCGTCTGATGTCGTCGTTGTCAAGGTTCTCTGCAAGGACATCTTGTACTACCTGCAACGATACTTGGGGAATGAGTGCTACTGAGATTAGTCAACTATAGGGTCACAGGAAACCATTTTGGACACCCTCAACGTGAGGAGTTTCAGAAACAAAATTTGGTACATAGAATGTACTGGGACCTTAGAGGAGCTGGCTATGTTCCCGTACGGCGATCCATCGCGCTTTGCGCCATTTCTGCTTGATGGTGATGGTTGAATGGCGAATCGTCATGATTCTTCTTGTTTTATATTCTGAGTTTCAAATGTTTGAAGGGGGCACTTGCAATTTGCGCGAACCATTCGCGCATCGCGGATTCTGACACCAGCATAAGCGTTGCGTCGTCGGCTTAAGTGTGTTTGGGATAGGGGTGGGGTCTTTGGCATGCGATAGCGCGAGCGCATGCGCTTTGCTCCCCATTCCATGCGTGTGCACTACTTTGCTGTTTTTTTATTTATTTTATAGATCACACCATTAAACAACGGTTGGTCAAATATGTACCTATTACTTGAGCGAAGGTTCTCCAAGTCTTCCAAATTTGCCCGTTCAATTCATCTTCTTATTCTCTTTACGTGTAAATAAAAAAGAGCAGTATAGTAAGTACAGATCTATAGCAATATAGTATATCTACATTAGGGGGGTGTGTTGCTGCCCTCCTCCTTAGGTCCCCTAAGATTGATACACAACACATCTCCTCCAATCAAGCTTCAAACTAAGCCTAGGCTCGTCGTATTAATGCTGCATAGGGAGGACGTAAGGCATCAGAATGTCTGCATAAGATTTGTGTAAACGCTTTCGCGGTAGGACTGCATCTTTGAAAGTTCCGCCTGATCGGGACGTCGACTTGAAGTCGACAATAGTCGCTTGTGCCAGCTGGTGGAAGCAGACCTACGGAAAACTACGCGTGAACTAGCACAAAGCTTTATGTGATCCCTTCCGCGCCAGCGCCGGCCACCTGCGTCGTTTTAGGCAGATTCGTCCACATATTCTAAAATAATAAGAGACAAGGCAAGGAGGGTAGATGGTCTTTTTCTGGGTGCGCCATACGTTCCAGTTCCACTTAAAATCGTAGTGGCGTTTTGAAAGCGATTGGTTCTATACAGTAATTCGCGGTGCGAGTCGATATTCACGTCAGTGTTCCCGTCCTCCCACACAGGTTTTGTACCAGTTGACCTACCCCGGAAGAAGGGAAGTGCTTTAATTATTCCGTTTGTGATGTTTTTTCTCTTAATAGCTTGGCATGGGCTGTGAATAACCAGCGATGATCCGCGAGCCATCTGCGTGATGAATGGCACCGCTTGCCGCTACCGTACTACGGTCCATCCATGTGTTATAAGTGGACTAATATTAATAGGCCAAAAATAAATAATATGATCAAAATATAGCACAATATTCTGCATATTTTGGCGCTGAAGCACCCTC